CACCGTTCGGCGGCCGCGAGAAGCGAAAGTGGCTGGAGTGGGAGGTGACGTTCGGCCTCCCCCCCCGCCGTTTTGTGGTGTGTTTTGTGCCCATGTTTTGGCCTCGCGCAGGCAGCCCGCTGCAGTTCACCCCTGGCATTCGCCCCTTGTGGGCGACGATTGATGCCACTCGCAGGTGTCAATCAGGGTGGTACCAGTCGGTGGCCGCGAGGAGCAAAAGGGCGGGAGTGGGAACCAATGCTCGGCCTCCCACTCCTGCTGTCCCAATGCGTGTTTTGCGCCCAAGTTCTGGGCGCCGCGCAGGTCGTAGTTGACCTTTTGGCATCCGCCCCTCGTGGGCGCCGATTGATGCCACTCGGGGATGCCCATCAGGGCACCCGCGAGTGGCACCAATCGGTGGCTGCGAGTGGCAGCAAAGCGGAAGTGGGAGCCAACGTTCGGCCTCCTCCTCTCGCCGTTTTGTGGCGGACACAGCCACACACAGTGTGGACTGGGGTGACCTTCAGGGAAACCATAGCGATGCGAAGCAACGCACCGAACAACCGCTGGTCGATTGCGCGGTACCTGGATAGTCCGGGTACCCGACTGTACCCGCCTATACTCGCGTACGTACCCGTACCCGCCTACCCAGGTAGAAGGGTTGGCGGGTACCGGAAAAACCAGTACCCGGCCCGAGTACCCGGGTATCCTGTAACCGGGTGCCATCCCTGTCAGGAATGTATGCTCTATTACGTGTCCTCCAGATTCCCATCACATGTGAAATTGTCGTGTGTTTAACTGGCGATCACGGATTTGCATACAGCAAAAACTGTCCATTAAGAATATGACATGATATTCTTGAAACATGCACGCAACATCTCTTCTCTCTACACAATCGGTCGGAGACATATCCATAATATCCAGTGATGTGCCTCTGATGCCATGGAAGCTTGGCAGGGGTGTGAAACGCTGACCGCCGAAAATCGGATTGTACCAAACAACACTTTTGCTGGAGTTGACTACCCGGACAAATTGGAGTCGTACATCCACAGGGAAGGCGGACCAACAGGCACGGCAAAGAATTGTGCAGAGCTCGATAGCTCCGCTTGGAGACCACTAAAGACCTGGGGGCACATTTTCCACTGATTGGTACCGGATCAGTGTGCCTCGCCATGCAACATCAATTTATCATCCTGCCAACATTGTCACCCCGGCAATCCCGGGTATGGCACTCCTGGAATCCCCTGGCAAGGACTGTCTGCGGCGCCACGACAATTGACATGCTGTGAATACGATGCGCGGGAAGACACAGTGCTGGAGTTTGGGCAAAAATTACACATGATCAATGGACGAGCTTGGAAGCGAATTTTTCATAGCCGATAATTTTCTCCTTTTACGACAGGGCCATCCATTGCTACGGACTTGAGAGGCAGTTGGGCCCTGCAATACGACGCTTTCAAGGTACAGGCTGGCGGTATTTGCGACGTGCTCTCTTTAAACGCCAGAAAGTGCCCATCTAAAGCTACATGCCAATGGAAATGTCATTTCTCAGTGCTCACAGTCGCAGCTATTCCATTGATTTTAATTTCCAAATGACACTCCTATTCTGATAAAATTTTTTCTGAAATGTTCGCAGCTGTTCCCGCTAGGAATAAGTTTGCGATTTTTCACCTATACTGAACAACACATCATACTGTATTGTATGTTACATAGGCTTGTGTGCCAGTTACGTCACTTGGCACTGCTGACCACGACAGTTGCCTATGCTCTCACCTAACTGTGCAAATATTCCCCATGTTGGAATCTGGGGCAGAGTCATCTTTCGGAAAGACAGATGGCAGCGGAGTAAGCTTCGAATGCAAAATTTTGAGTTATAAGTAGCCCGCTATTGGGGTTTCCTGTGCATATCTGATGACGGCCACGTTCCACGTGAGTGCTCGTTATCTGACTCATGCTTTTGGATACTGATAAACCACAGCATTCAACCATGGCTTGAAACATGCAGACAGTAATCTGCAAGTTTGCGAAAGATCCAGCGTTAAGTCTAGATGACCATTTGGTAGCTGGAATCACCGCGATATGTGTGGAAGCATCTGAAGAGCATCATATGTCTTTGAGGCATTTCATTTAAGACTAGCCACTGCCTTTCCACACCAACCAACTGTCGTTCGTCCATTCGCAGGGGGTCGCAACGCTGCGGTCGCTTCTATGGCCGGGATATGTGTTCTATCACAACACCAGGACTCTCACATGGGGATCTCTGTATATGGGTGATGGACTTTACAACGCGGATCTTGTCTTCATGCTGTGATGGCAGCGGCGAAACTTGCAAAGAGAATGATGGGTGGCGAAGTCGGAGCAAATCGGCCATTTTGGCGTCTTGTAATACAGTCAACACGATTTTTGCATCCTTAGTGGGTATTGTGCAATTGCTCGGGTCTTGGAATTGATGTAAACGCGCTGATGGGATGGTATGCGCACCAGCTTGTTTTGCGCTGGACGTTTCCGTTGCCGAAGAAACAGCCCTTACGCCGTCTGTATTTTCCCCGCCGCCCCTGTCTCCCAGCGTCAATTTGACTGTAAACATAACAGTATCGTCATAACGTGTTCCCTAACGTGTAGAAAGAACGAACGGGATAGTCTTGTCATGAAGTGAAATCCAGGTGTATGACTTTCCAGACTGAATCGATGTCTCCATTGGTTTCCAGTCGCGATCCATTAAAATGTTCAAAGAGCAACTGTCAGGCACAATGCATGCATATGCAGTGGCAGAATTTGCCCTTGGTGTTGGTAGGCAATATGATGCACAACGGTTTGCTATACCAACCCACACAGGGTACGGGACTCCATTGACCAAAAATTGCAATTCACTTCAACAGTTTCCTGTTCATTATTGTGGAGATATCCTCAGGTGAAAAAGGCCTCAATGATATAATTATCTGACTCAAATCCAGGACAGCCAAGTTAACTTGTGACAACGTTATCACATTTCCAATGTAGTCGCCATTGAATCAGATACCAATGCTCAAGCCAGCTTGTGATGGCACAAAGGTGTATCGAATGAAATGTATGCAGTATATGAAGCACTTATATATGTTCACATGCAGGACAAAAAGGCATGACGACACAGAAAAACTCATCAAGGCAACATCTGCCAGGCCTTTGATATCATGTTCATGAACTCCACGCATTGTGGGAAATGACCGGCTGTGATGCAGAGCAACAACAACACCATTATGTTCTTCAATCATTCAGTTGTCGTGCCATAATTACTGCCAACGTTGGTGTTTTTTGAAAGACGAAAATGGCAGTCATGGCTCGCACAACAACATTTATTGGCAACAGCTCATGCTTAAAAATTTCGGAGAGACAAAATATTAGCAATGTACGACTCGGCAACGTGCAATAGTGCTCTTCCATTGCACCTCCTGCCAGTATCCGATTGGTGGCAATGAGCAAAAAGGTGTCCCGGATCCCTTTTTGATTCCGAGTTTGGAATCGTATTTCAGAAATTAGATGCCACCCCTGCGGCCCCTGCTATGGGAAGGGATCCCAGGACTCCCATCTGCCTAGGCCGGTTCGTGGAGGTCCTTGTTGCGTTGGAATGCCTAATCTCTTGTCAACGTCTTGGGAGGCGCCATGATCACGGCGTGTAAAAGGTAACACCAGAACTCTACGTGGCCATACAAAGACCACAACCCCATAATTCCTAGCTATGCGCGTTTCTGCTTTCCACCCTTCCACTGGCAGAGCCACATTATTATATAAATTAAGGACTGCCTTACCGTCTGCTATCGCCGTGCGCGCTGTCAGCGGCGATTCGCAGCGCTGCTTCCTTCAGATTGGGCTGCTCCTCCGCGCACCTTCATGCCCATCAATCCACAACAACTTTGTGTCTTGTTGCCTTGCACCTTGCACAGCTGCTACCTGTTTTTTGAATTCCAATGTATCGCATGCTGATCTAAGCAAGGAGCTCCCCCGCAAATTGTAAAGCACAATGGGATCCAATTCCAGCAGGAGCCGATGTAGGTTCCCAAACAATAAGATAGGAAGAAGACACCAGTGTTCGGTCAGCGTTCAATATCCATGCGGGGGAGTCCCAACCATCAGAGAGAAAATGTCAGGAAGGAGAGAAAGGGTACAGGTGGTACCTTGAACCAGGGCATTCTAACCTGAAGCACGAGTTCGCAATTCTAACCAAGAATGGACGGACATGTGCTGTCATTCCCGTGCAGGAATGACGACCAGCACGGGGGTCGATTTTTTACTTCGGTCCTCCCAGTTGTCAGGGTTGCGTGCACCGCTACTTGGCTGCGCGGGCACGCCAAGGCCATCAGTATGGAGGAAGAGGGTTCGACGGAGGACCGCACGCTGTTTCCCCCCGCCGACTACGCCAAGGACTGGCTGAGGGAGAAGCGGCTTCTCACCGAAAGGTGGGTTGCGCAGGAGCGCCGCTCGCCTGATGCTCGCCACCTTGGCCGTCGGCTTCCGTGCGTGACCAGGCATCGTTGATGCGATGCTTTCCGTGCGGGGTGGCAGGTACTTCAGCGGCGAGGCGCTGGGGCAGGATCTGGGAGCGCAGCAGCTGGAGGGCGGGGAGGTCATAAAGGAGGGGGAGGAGAAGCCCATCCTGACGTTTTTGAGGGCCCCTCACGGCCACAGCAGGGCGCCCTCGGCAGAACGGCGCTCGGATTGATCGCACGGCGACGCTCGGTTGGACGGGGCTGGTCCAGGCCGTGGTGGAAAGGTTTTCGGTCTTTTGGCCACGCTGCGCGGCAGAGCGCGCGGCGAAGCACTGGAGCGCTGCACTGGGCGGGCGAAATCAAGCAGATCGATCGGCCGACCGGGGCAATTGAGGCATCTGCCACTCCTCGGCGGGGCAACCGCGCTTCCGCGCACAGTCGTGACGGCCGCTCGAGGCAATGGGCGCCCAGCTCCGCTGAGCAGACCGCGGTGGGGAGGACGCTGCTGAGGTCATTCCCGCCGCTGAACTGGCTGCAGCGGGCCGGGCCCGGTCGCCGATGGCCGCGCCTCCGCGCTTGGGATGCGCCCCCCTCGCGCTGGCGCCCCGGGCCGACTCCGCCCTGCGTGCTCTGCGGGCGTCTTCGCGCGGGCAAGCCGCATCACTGACGTCCAGCGGTCCCATTGGGGATCACGTTGGTACTGTGCCGGGAGCCGAGCGAAGCCAAGCCAAGTCGGCCGACGAGCCGCGCCTTGGAGCGGCATCTAGGGACGCTCCGGCCAGCGCCTACGTGCACCTGCCCTTCTGCAAGCGGCGGTGCTTCTACTGCGACTTTCCCGTCCGGGCGGTGGGCGATGACGCCGGGACGCCCGCGGTCCAAGATGCAATGAGCAAGTATGTGGACCTGGTGTGCGCGGAGATCGACGCCAACGTCCGCCTGGGCTCCCGGCCCCTGCAGACCGTGTTTTTCGGCGGCGGCACGCCCTCCCTCACGGCACCGGGCCTGCTGGAGAGGATCCTGGCCAGCCTGCGCCGCAAGCTTGGGATCGCCCACGGGGCGGAGATCTCGATGGAGGCCGACCCGGGTACGTTCGACGCGGTCAAACTGAGGGCCTACCTGGACCTGGGGGTGAGCCGGTTCAGCGTGGGGGTGCAGGCCTTCCAGGAGGAGCTGCTGCGCGGGGGGGGCAGGTCGCATTCCCTGGCGGACGTGCGGAGGGCCATCGAGGACATGCACGCCGTGGCGCCCCCGTCCTGGAGCCTGGACTTGATCTCCGGCCTGCCCTTCTCGACGCCGGCGGCCTGGGAGGAGAGCCTGCGCATGGCGGTGGAGGCGCAGCCGCATCATGTGTCTGTTTATGACCTCCAGGTGAGGATGCGGTGACTGCGTTTGTGGCAGCCTGTCCTTCCGGGCTTGCCCGTCAATGAATCAGGGACTGGCCGGGAAGGGAGTGGGATGCTGGCTGCCTGGGCGTGGTTAAGGCCCGAGAGAGGCACAAATGATATTGGAGGTTGGCTCTCCAAACGAAACCTGTTGTCCATGGCCTCCAAGGGGATAATGTCTGCGAGCCTTTACCACACTGTGGCAGTTGATGCACAAGTCTCTGAGATCGCCGCAGGACTAGCAGGCAGCCCTTAGATGGACCTGAAATTGTGTGATTCACAATGGTGCAGTTGGTTATAATTGCAGCCATTTAACTTGCCCGTTGGCAGATGCTGTTTGCTGCGTGCCGCTTGGTCTCATGCCCTGCATTGTTGAGCAGGAGCAAGGAACAGGCACCGTGTGTCGCTTGCTCCTGCCACTGCTGGAAAGAGCAGTCTTGTACGACGACGAAATAGCAACAAAATGCGCACAATCCAGGTCCTGGTAAAGAAACTGCGTGCACAAGGGCAGCGTGTTGTGCATCATTCTACTCTGATTGTTTCCTTATGGTTGGATGAATGCTGGTAGCAATGGCATGTGCTTATGGCATGGTGGCTCTCAGGTCGAGGAGGGCACTCCCTTTGGCCATTGGTACTCCCCTGGCCAGAGCCCACTCCCTTCGGATGCTACCAGTTCAGCCATGTACGTCATGGCCTCAGAGACACTGCGCAGTTCAGGTTATGAACATTACGAGGTCAGCAACTACGCCAAGCCTGGCCACCAATGCAGGCACAACCTGACGTACTGGACCCGGCGCCAGTGCTATGCATTTGGCCTTGGAGCAGCTTCGTACCTGATGGGAAGGAGGTTCCGGAGGCCTGCAAAGATGGCTGCATATCGGAAGTGGGTGCACAGCCTTCAAGGTGAGGCTGTGCCCATGGGAGGGCAACCAAAGGAGTCTCTCAGGGACCAGATGGAGGAGGAACTGATGCTAAGGCTTAGGCTGCGGGAAGGACTGGATTTGATGCAGTTCGAAAATGAGTTTGGGGCAGCAGCAAGGGAGGCTGTGGTTGGGGTTCTTGCACACTTTGTGGACAGGGGCTTGGTAGAAGTAGACGCTCCTTGTCATAAGTCACTGCTGTCTGGGGGTGTGAGGCAGGCAGGGGAGCGGGTGAGGCTCACTGACCCCAGTGGGTGGCTGGTGTCGAACGATATCATTTCGGATCTGTTTGTTGCGCTGCCGGATTGATCTTGTGCACAATGCCAACGCCATAGTTTTGCAAGATTTTATAGATTAAGTGGTTCGGCGCCCTCAATGTGATGGCCGGAATCCCTCCCCAACCTGTGCGGCCACAAGGTGGCTGTTCATGCTCACCTGGCAAGGAATGCACAGTACATAACGGGGACACCAGTTGCTCGCCTTTCGTTTGCCCAGAGGCTCCACGTGGGGCGGAAGTCCCCAGGCGCTTGGGGGCAGACAAGGCGTCCAACTGCTTATTTGTGCCCTTTGGGCCATTGACAGTACATGGCCCACATGCTGGTAGGGAGTGCCTTTGGAGAGCACAAGGTGCTATGCGTGCCCTGTCAATAGTGCCCGTGCGTCCAACCTTGGCGGCAAGGGAGAAGGCATCTACAACACCAAAAGCCCGGTTTGGAGAGGTCAAGCAGACCCAGGCACAGGCAATGTCCCCTGGGGCATTCCCCTTCTCACAGCTAGGTGCATTGTCCATCTTTCCGCAAAACTTTACACAAGGACCAAGTAGGGAAGCTTCAAACAGCTGCAACGAAACAATCAACCGTCTCTAAACAGTTCGCCTGAGCTCGCTCAAAATGCCTTGGCGATCCAATTTATTGGCCCTGCCCACTGAGCAATCGACAGCCAAGGACGGGCAGTGATGTTATTGAGGCTCAGCAACAAAGAATTGGCACTCCCCTCCCACATAGCCAGTTTTCTCATCCTGCATTTCAACTACACTACCATTATTGCTTGGGCCCGCTGAAGCTCCGCACTTCGGCCCTGGGCGCTTCCCTCTGCACGGCCGGCATTAACCGAGCATTTGCACCAGACATTTCGAGCTTCGAATTTGCCACAGATACCCATTCGTGCCTCCTATCACCTGCACTCCAGCCCGCCTCTTGCCTGTGCTCCAACAAGCGGGCCCCAGGCTGTCCATGCCATTCACGTGACGGTGCGCCGTGTCTTTGCCCTGCTGTGAAGATCTGGGCGGCCCGTTTTGGTTGTGGCTGTTGCGAGGAAGCCATCCCCTGCCACATCACTGAAACCGTCACCAACCAACAGGCATTTGGACCTGACAAGCAAGAAGATGAATGCCATGTCGAGCACTCCTACGCTGCTCAACCTTCCGGTTCAGTCGCCAACCGGCAACAGTACTGCTGGGGAGGTGGGGGCCGGTGGGTGGGTGGGAACGGCATGGCGCTTGACTGGGGCAAGCCGGACCCCATACACACTGGCACGGGGGTGGTGACCGTCTGCAGCAGGGCACTTCAGAAAGTGGCGTACAGGATGTACGGTGCAGCGTTTCTGATAGATGGGCATCAATGCAAGCAGGTGTGTCAATGATGTTGACTTCTTCATCATTTACCGACTTGCTGTACAATCAACTCCTTTGGCTACTTTGCGTACTTTAGCAGACTATGCGACGCTCGGGATGACCTTCTTTCATTGCGTTGTTTGCACCATTGGCAACACCAAAGACCACGAAACCTAAGCGTTTGCCTTGAAGGCAAGGATCCCACCTCTGAAGGTGTGACCCTCTGAACACATCCACCTGCCCGAGCGACAAGGACTGCCGTTGGTTTCTGGATTTTGGTAACGGCTACCCTCACAGATGATCTTTGTGGTGGCTGAGGCACACTTCAAAGGGAAGATCCGAATAAGGGCACCTGTGCCACAATGAGTCTCCCTGTATTGCCACTGGTGACTTCACGTCAGGCTTGCATCTGATTGACGCAGGCAGGAGTCCAGCGTGGACGCTTAATCATGCAACGTGCAACTTTAGGCCAGCAGAGCGCCGTTTATGCTTGTCGTTGAGAAGTTGCCACACTGGCATGGGTGGTGTGTCCCTGGTTCGCCGACACTGCAGGGTGTTTCTCATGACAATGTCATCCGTGGCAACGTGACAAATGTATGAAACAAACAAAAATGCAAATTGGGATGTCGAAGTCCAGGGTGTCAGCATCTGGCTGGGAACCTGTGTCAGCAACTGTGCACGCTCGCCTTCCACATACAGCAGCATGCAAGCAGGGCCATGCTAGCATTGGTGGGGGTGGGGGTGGGGGTGGGTAATTTGGGCGCATCTGCACAGTTTGGATGTACACTATGCACTACATCGATCACCAAAATTCCATAATGGGGCCAAAATGAAGCGTATCATTGCCAGCAACAAAATACATCGGCGAAACTGCTGTATCACATGCAGCAACACGTGAAAACGTCCATCAAGTTTTTGCCCCTGGCTTGTGCTGATGGTTCTCATTATATGATTTATGTGTCTTTCTGCCAAAAGGACGGTGTTTACCTGTGAGGAGGGTCGGCAGCCACTACCGCTTCCCTCGGGGTCTGTGTCCCTCAGCTTCTGCTTGAGTTCCTTGTCCCTCAGTTTGTAATAGAAGTTGTCCTTGCTGAGCTGTTCAGACTGCTGTTTATAAAAAGCCGTCGCCTGCACTGCATCTGCGAGTGAAGTGCGATAATGTAAAGAACCCGCCACAAGCAAGGCAGCATCACACGAGAAAGGGTTGACAACAAGGGAATATCGAGCTGGCTACGGATATTCTAAAACCATCTGATTCTCTGCAAGGGCCACGCACACGCGCGTGCATGGCGAGAAAGGAAGCAAAGCCAACATCCCTACCAAGAAAAGCAAGGCTACTATTGGTTGCCTCAAAGATATACCGCCAAGGTTACTAACCAACGGGAAAATACGAGAAGGCCGCAAATCTCTGTTGGGACAACATAACCATGGAACCGCACTGTGATGGTCAAACACTCGAACCAAATGCAACCACGTTGAAACAGGCAATTCGACACCATGGTCAAGGCCATCATGCACAATCCATGCAGATTCTTCCCTTGTCATACCGAGGGTGGATGGGCTGCCATGCAAACCGTTGAAATGCCGTTTCCAATTGGAAATTGTCTGCAATAGGAATATTCAGTTCCAGTTGGAACATTCAGCAATCGCCTGTGCAGAGGCTGTCGCTGGCCTGCCTCCGCAGTTCTGCCAGTTTCAGGCCAGATGGCAAACAGGCAGTGTCACTTGTACACGCACCTGTACTCGAGGATGTCCCAGGACTGCTGCCACCAGACCTTCCAGTGTAAATGCCATCAGCAGAGCGTGGCAAGGGCAGTGGCTGCTCTCTCGAGAGCACTTTGATCTGCCTGAGGAGGCCCTGCACCTTAACTGCGTGTTCTTTCTGCACCTCCCGCAGCCGGCGCTCCAGTTCCTTATGTTTCAGCTTCAGGTTGCCCTCAGCCACGTCCACCTGGTGGCTCTTGTCCATGACAGCCGCCTCCAAGCGACTTATCTGAACAAACGATCCAGGCCAGCTTCAGACAGTGAACACGAGCATATGGTTGCAAAAACGAGTGTACATGAATGCAAATAGCTGCTGGCATCACCTGCTGGGAGTGAGGGATGATTGGCTATACTCTGATATTCTGACAACCATCGCTGCAGATTCGCATTCATTATCGAGACGCACGTGAGAACCACATGTCTTGAGAGAGCAGCTCTTGAAGGAGCCTGGTGAGAGCAGCCCACAGAAATTCGACAATACTTGCGTAAAAGTCCTAACAAATCGCATTGGTAGCAAAGGGTCCACAACGACTCTGCGACGACCATTCACACACAGCCCTGACCAATTCAGTTCCGACATAACGCAACAAGGAATTCCAATTTCTCGAATGTGCTGTCATAACTCCTTTCAGGAAAAATGAACAACGGGGGCACTTCGTTGTGCAATCCCTAAATCTTTTTACCATCGATTGTGGTGCACCTGCCCCATGTACGGTTGTGGCCATGTTGGCTCCCAGTTGCCAAGATGCCTCACATGCCTCTCCCACCTTTACATCCTTTTCTTACTGCCACTGCCGAAAGTTGCAAGGTCCCTTCTTGACTTCTGCAAAGGCAAATGTGCAACTCCTGTCTTCTGACAAAACACTCACCTTTTCTGCATTGTGCTTCTGCTCCTGCAGCACCTGCACCAGCTGCATGAGGTAGTGTTCAAGCACACCATGTGCCTCCTCAGCGCTGAGGCACTGCACACAGCACTGGATGCCCTCCGCCGCCAAAGATGCACTGGACACCAGCCTCAGGCGCTCAGCCACGGCATCGTTGACATACTCCAGCTCCGCACTGAGGATGTCAACACGGTCGTCCAAGACGCTGAGCTCCTGCAAGACAGGGCAAAACATAGTGTCAAAGGAAACTGGGAAATGTGCCCGCCTTCAAGCATTTGCAAAATGGAACAGAGATCAATGATGGCAGCCGGGGTCCGAGGGACAAGAAACAAAGAATACAAAAAGTATGAAGAGCCCTTGGACTGGCTCTTAAAAACAAACAGTTGTGACGACGGTAAGAGATTGGTGCTCAGGTGGTGGTAGTTTGCTCTTGTTCCAGGTTTGCATGCAAGTTCGCATTGTGCACAATCGAGGTACAGCCAATTCTATTTGGCCCATGGCCATATGTCCAACTTTTGTTGCCATGGTGCCTGACATAGTCCCGCAAGCGAGTGCGCAATCGAGGTACAGCCAATTCTATTTGGCCCATGGCCATATGTGCAACTTTTGTTACCATGGTGCCTGACATAGTCCCACAAGCGAGGCAACTCAATCTCAGCCAAACAACAAAATCAACAGAGCCTTGCACACAGCTGTTTTGAGTGCACAATTTCAGACAATATAATCCATGACAACCACAAGATTCGTAAAACTATGTCTGCAACTGCACCAATTAGAATATGCTACTTCCCCTGTTCCAGACAGCTGTCGTATCTGTCTTCTCACTCAGCTTTTATCATGAAATCTTACCATATTCTATGCAGCGGCGTAAAGGCACTTTCTATTTTGCTTCCAGGCTGAACCTGGGAGTTCTTGGGCTTGTTCTTTCTGGATCTGATATCTATTCAAAAACTTGACCTTATCTATGCAAAGAGAGAGAAGAGTGATTTTGGAATGCTGCCATCTTACTCCCTTGAGCCATGGAGCCCAATGCTGGTTTTGTGACCTGCAGCAGTGTTCCATTGGATTCTTCAAGAACTTCACCTGATTGTGAGAGTTGCTCCGCTGCCTTGTTGCTTCTGTGTCCCCTCCTTGCACAGTTGGCACCAGGGAGCTGCTTTCCTGCTTTAGAAGTCTCATCTGGCCCTCCACTTCAGCAAGACGTCGACCTGGGCCATTCTCTGTCCGCATTTGCTTGAGTTCCAACAGGGAGCGATTCTGTGAACACAAGGAGACACATCCAATCATTATTGCAGCAGTCCCACAGTCACAGCTGCTGCAGGATCGCAACACCACTCACCAGTGCCAACAAGTGACAACTATACTGTATGACAGAACAATGCAGATCTAATGGAGCACGAACCAAATGCGATGCAAAGCTTAAACCAATGTATACATCACAAGAGCACACCTTCCACAACAGGGTTTCTTTATATCAACCTTCTCTTCGAATCAGATGAGCAACGGCCTCATTCAGGGGATAGCTTTGAGGTCCATTGTGGATGGACCTGAAAGCCCTCCCCTCCAGCTGCAGATACCTGGAGGTTGCCCAGCATGTGGCAGAGACACAAAACTTCCAGTGAAAGACAACCGGGCACTTCTGTCCATCTGATGGGCAACAGCACTAACGCGTCGAAGGCCCACACCTCTTCTGACATTGGACCAGTGCATGAACTCTGAAGTGCAAATACCTAAAGTATTTTTTATATTTCAACGGAATTTTGGAACAACACAAAGCCATAGAAATGCGCACCTTCATAATGTCGTCCCTCTCCCGCAACAACATCTCCCGCCTCTTCTTCAGGCCCTGCAGCTCCACCTCCGCCGTCCTCTTCTTCACCACCTTGCCCACCTTGCCGTCCAGCCACCGCACGTGCTTGCCGACGCTCCTGGCCAGCGGCTCCTCGCCCCGCCCCTCACCCCCGCGCGCTGACCGCGACCCCTCGGGCGTCCACGCCGACCCTGGCAGCCCCTTCAGCCTCAACGGCCCATCCGCCGTGGCCGACCGGCCTCTGGGCGTGGCCCCCCCCTCCCTGGGCGTGACTGGCCTCTCCTTCATCCAATCGCTAGGATCCCCTCTGGGTGTCAGCTGCCCTGATCGGATCACCGGCTGGCTGCGGCTGCTCTCCCCCCGTGGGGTGAGCTGCCTGCCCCGATCGCGGGGGGTGAGCTGAAGCGAGTTCCGGCGGTGGTCCCTCAGGCCATCCCTGGGCGTCAGCGGCGTGGGCTGGCTGGGGACGACGAAGGGATTGGATGGACTGTCGCGGGGCGTCTGAGAGCGCAGCGGGGGGCGTGGGCTGCGCGAGGTGCCGTCCTCGTCCTGGGGGCGCACCCACGACCGCCGCGCCCTGTCCCGGGGCGAGCGCGCAGCGCCACAGTCGCGCGGCCTGGGCTGGCTGTGCGCCCAGACCTCCTTGTACAGCGCGCCCGCCTTGCGGCGCGTGCCGCTCTGCAGGACCTTGGGGTCCAGGGCCAGCTCGCGGAGGCGCCGCTGGGCCACCACAACCTGCTCCCGCTTGCGCTGCGGCGGCAACGGACACAGAACAATCATCGCCAAAAAAATCTTGCGTGTGAAGGCGAGGAGGTGGGCATCAGCTCCCGTTTCGTCCAAGCAACGCAGTGCCCGTTGTTTGTTCCAGGAGAAACGAAGACATCGCCACTGAGAGCAATCAGACAAGCGACAAGCGACAGCAGATTGGTACAGACGATGTTTGGATGCGTTGCGCCAGTGTGCAGGGCCCAGGGGTCGTGGACGGCACAAGTTCACACACTTGGAGTGAACTGGGCCAGCATATCATCAGTGTTATGCCCAATAGGGGCTATTCTCCCCATCCGGGTGCATGACTCATTGCAGGCTATCATGCATGTGCCAAGGTTTTCACCCCCAAGTCAGGCATGCTTGGCACCTGGCAGACTGCCACTGGCCAAGTGCTCATCTGACTTTGCGTACAAGTGGTCATTGGATGCTGTTGCCCCTGGCAAGCCATCACAATGCACACTGCAGGGCGCCAACAAAATGCGGTTCCACCGCAAGACTCACTTCCACTTCAGTACACATTCTACATATGGGAGGTAAAGCAAATTGATCCCACAGATTGGATGTTGTGCCTGTTTCTGGACACAAGCCATGCAGCACCCAAAAGAAGCGCAACAAACCCTTCCTCTCCCTTTTCTCCCATACCTTCCCCTACCTTTATGATGTTCGTCTGTTTGTTGTTCTCCTTCTCGAGCTCAGCAATCGTGTTGTTTGCTGCCGTCACGGCATCCTGCAGCTCCCTCACCTCCCTCTGGTTCTGTTCCCTCTGCGCCTCAAACACACGACCCTTGGCCTGCAACTTGTTCTGCAGGCCCTTGTGCCTTGCACGCGACTTCTCAAGCTCGTCCTGCAGAGTCTGGATCTGCGCCTGGGCCCTCTGCTGTTCCCTGTTCGATCCCATCTTCCGCTGCTCCTTCACCAGCTTTCGCAGATTGTCCATCTGCAGCTGTGCCTGGGTGATCCGCCTGTCGTACTGGAGACGGAGCTGGATTTTCTCTTCTGCAGTCTTGGCACGGTCGCCTTCAATTGCATCCACCTCATGTCGCAGATGCTCCACCTCAGCCTCTTTTCTGGAAATGTCCTCTTCCAAATCCCTTATGTGAGCCTGTGTGGACAACAAATTCTCATACACACCTTTGTACATGAGTGCCACGTGCACAGCATGCTCTTGTCCACAGCATACTCACACATGTGCAGCACACGACGCATCAGGTCCACTGCCATGCAAATAGTGCAAAGAGATGCGAACACGCTATTCTGCTGTGGTGTACTCGGCCAAAAGCAGCGAACACATCGGCAGCATCGGCTGCCCCAGCACTAAGACCACTGGAGTACTTTTGCCGACCAGAAGCTGTACCTTGGCAAGTGACGTTGATTGTTTGGGAAGGAATGCACACATCTATGCTGCAGATACATCATGAGCCTAACAATACTGCATACGCTACTATCAGGAAGACATCCCACACACATAATGCACTCTCCCCCTCTCCTTTCAACGAAGGCCTTGGGATGCTTGTCCAGCCAAGTACAGAGACATCTTCAGGTGCAGGAGGAGGGGCAAACAACAATCCAAACCCCTTCACAAGCACATCAGGCAAAGGTGAGCAATGCTTTCCTCTTCCTGGAATTCACATTCCATAGTACAGATGCATTTTAAAATGCACCTGCACGACATGGACAACTGGTGCTCTTTGGGGCTCCAATTCCATGCAATCTGATGAACAGCAACAATACACACCAGGTGCTCATCAGACTGTGCCCTCGTTTCCTGCTCGTTGGTGCGAAGCTGATGGATAGTCTCCTCCTTCTGCCAGATGTCCCTTTCAAGGTCTTGCAGCTGTCGCCCCAGCGACTCGCAGACCTGTCCGAACTCCTGGTGCTGGGCAGCCATCTTGGCACACAGGCTCTCCTTCTCTGCCTCGATTGCAGACCTCTCTTCCACCCATTTCTGCACCTCTGCATTTCCCTGGTCATCTTCCTCATACTGTGTGAATCACAGAGGTATGTTTGCCCATGTTGAGGATTCAACAACTGCTGCACCTGATAAGAGAGACATTTCATTGACACTGTTGCTGCAATATGACAGAACTATGACCCTGTACCTGCAATGATGGTCGTGATGCTATGCAGATGGTATGCTCCAGAACGTTATGGGGGAAGGCAATGGGAGCCACAGCAACTGTGGTAGAACCAGACAACTGTGCTCACTGCCCCTGCTGGAGTGCCCATTCACTACAGAAGCTGAATGGGTCTTGACAAGCCTGTCAGGGGTATCGTAGGCTGTGGACACAGCTTATCAAAACAGCCAAATGCTTTGTGGCGATACCAAGGTTCTGCAAGCCTATCCTGCTGAGAACAAAAAAGAAAAAGTTGCAAATCAACAGTAACTTGAGCATCGATAGGTTTTGCCAGTTTAACAAGCATTTGAAGAGCCCTCACCTGCATCGTTCCCGAACCATGCAGATCGGTGTAGTCCGTATCACTAACGCACGACAACAGTTCATCGTCAAACAGGACCAGATCGTCACTGCCGCCACCCGTGGCACCACCATTCTGGTGAACACCATTGTCTGCTCTTGACTCCGCTAATGCTCGATCCTCTTGTGAGCCAGGCACGAAAGCATGGGGAGCAGCACTCGCACTCTCGGCACGACTCTTCCAAATCTCCAGCTCACTGCGCAACTGCTCGATTTGCTGTTCATGGGTGTGCTGGAACATCTCAAACTTGCGTTCCATCTCTCTGCTCGCTGCTTTCAGAGTGTTCAGCTCCTGCATCTTTTCAGCAAAGATGACCTCGTCCCGTGCGAGATGGTCCTGTGCCTCCCTGAGCTGTTTCCTGACCTCCACGATCTCTCGTTCACGCTTCACCACAAGGTTCTGGAGGTCCCCTGCTGTAACACCCTCAGGCACACCGTGCTGAAGGCAGTCCCTGGGACTTCCATTGACAGAGGTGCGGACCAACAACCTAGGATTCTTGCCATTCCTCTCACCATTGGACTGCTGACACGCAAGGAGAAGTCGATCCCTGCATGCCAGGCACCACAATGTACAGTAAAAATGAATATTAACACTGTGAGCAGAATGTGTACTGGAAATAAACTCTTTGCACGTCCAGCACCAGTATTGACATACAAGGGATATGTCCCCTGCACATTGGTTTCAGCGGGGTACATCGTGCCATTCTATTGCAGATGGAGTCTCCACGAAAACAGCAGGCCTGAAACCATGTCTGACACCATGTCTGACACCTACCTGGCAAGCAATAACAATAAAATGTGGAGTTCCTTGTCACAAATTCGTTAGTAACACCAAAACCCAAAATCAGTATTCAAGCCATGACCATCCCCACCTGGCTTGTGGAGATATCTCTCCAGCCGCCATGAGCGCATCTGCCTCTTGTACCACTGCTGATATCTGCTGCATCTGAGTCACCAATGTCATTTGCATCTTCCCTTTGGCTTCCTCAGCATCCTGTAGTCGCACCTGGAGGTCTGCAGTCTCAGAGTTGCTGATATCGACCTGTGACTGCAAGTGGCGAACAGTCTTCTCCAGCTCATTCAACGATTTGTTGTGCAGTGAGAGGACCAGGCCATCAGTGTCTGGGAAGGGCAGGGGAGAAGAAAAGTGAGGTAGCAGTCTTGGTATAGGCCATAGACACATGGCATCGATTAATGCATATCCTAAGCAAATACGGTATTTCTGAAAACTAAAAAAGGGCACTGGAAAGGCATTTTGCACACCAGCTCAACGTTTTGGTCAGCCGCTGTGACTCAAACCCTTAAAGACAGCACACAATGCCACACTCACATACCTGTTCTCCTTTCCATTCTCTCCACTCGATCAGTTGGACAACACTGCCTTAATCAAGTGACAATATTCCAGCTTGTGGACATACTCAGACCTGCACTGGCCCATGAGGCAGATATACCACTTTCCCAATCTTGTGCTCAATCCAAACCAACTGGCAAAAGCAGTGAGGAATTCCTTATGGCAAGAACATGTGTCCCAACGTAAGGCTCAGGCACTGGACTTGAATTGGGACACAGGTCCTTGCTGTAAGGAATTCGACAACAACAAGGTACACACTGTTGCAACTTCCACGGCCCCTGTCAAACCTGCCCTGTTGGCCATCTCCCTCAATTTCTCCAGATCCTCCATTGCGATCTCCCCCTTCTCAAAGTCCATCAGCAGCATCTCTGGCAGGGCGCCAAGCGTGGACCCATCCAGGTACTGCCTCAGCAGCTTCAGCTGCAACTCCTGTGCGTCAGACTTGAGATCACCAGGCGAGCACCGGATCTCACGGTTCACGTGGGGCTTGTTCTTGATATTCCTTGCCCGATTGGCATACTTCAGGGTGTTCAGTGTCTCATCGAAACAGTTGTCCGCTGAGCTGACGCAGGCCACCATGCAGGTGCGTGAGTTGCCGCCAAGGGAGTCCTGCAGCAGTCGGGTAAGTTTGGAATCCCTGTAGGGCACATGGCCAATCCTGGGTCTGCTCTCATCTCCCAGGGCACTAATCACATTGCCCAGACACAGGAGACCCTGTCAAAAACACAGTCGATATTGTTTTAGGGAAGGTCACCACATGAAACGGAAAAAACATAGGCCTATTTGTCTGAGGATCCCTACAAGCATGAATAGGAACAGCATCCATTCCTTGGGACCTGCCAATTTGCGCTCTTCATCAACAGCTGGCTATGATTGTGCTTAGCTGGCTAATCTGTTTTGATAACAAGAACGCAAGGAAACCGTCGTTGGCCAGTGTAAGGCAATGCAGTCCTGGGTCAGAGGAATCGACTAAGCTGATTGTACACAGCTGATATCCACAGAGTTGATGGCAACCTATGGCAGGATGTAACCAGCTTGCAGCCATTTGCCATCTGAGGGCACTGAAACCAAGGTGACACCAAAAGTATCCGTAGCAGCCAACTGCAGTACTTGGACACAGTGCATTTTCAACAAAAACACATTAACATGAGCTGAACTGGTGATATGACTTGCTGACAAGTGAGACTACAAATCCGATTGGTACAGGGGCACACTGTGCTCATCATGTGAAAGAGTGCCTGTTCATTGCCTTTTTTCTTTCCTTTCTTTGTTTGTGTCCTATAATCCCACATAAAGCACTCACAAACTCATACACACACATACGCACACATACGCACAAGTATCACAGTCTCCCCCGCTTCGGTGGATCATTTTCACACTGTAGACATTCAAGTCGACCATGCACCAGATGGTAGAACGGTGACGATGCGCATCAATACAGACAATGAAAACGGACATGAGCTGTCAATGCCATGCTTGACATTGTGCACCTGGTTGATATGCACCGACTCCTTCAACCTCTCCCCTGCAGCCCCACTCTTTTTGATCCGTTCTGAGCCAGCAAGGTCCACAAGGTGGAACTTGGCCCTTCGAACCTCATGCACATGCCCATCCACAGGCTCATCGTTGCCAGCATGTCCCACTCGCTGCTCAAGCATGATTGTGAAGATGGCGTGGGATCGGCTCGAGACCGAATTCACCAGCGTATCCCCTTCACAACAAAGTTTACCAGTTACGCAAGTACTACAGTTTTCACTTCCTTCATGCCATAAAACACATGACTGAGGAAAGCGACTGAACAAAACGCGCACTCTGGCAGGCCAACAGCACATAATACACTGGAGGCTCCCTCCTAACAAGCATGAGTCTTGTGTGCATATATGTGCATGTATGAATGGATTATGTGGATTCGTGTATATGGACAAAGTGCATTGACAATCCTGCTTTGAAGTTGCAAACCCAGAGCTGCACACCAGTGCCACTGTCTTGTGGTTGCTTCCATCATCAGGACAATGGGCTTTGTAAATGCTGGGACATGTATGTTGGCTGCACACCTGCACTGTTCTTCTGCCATTCAACTCATACAACACAGCATCAGCAACAGCCTACGCAAATGGCTCAGTGGTCTCACCAGTGGATCTTGAGCTCAGGCCGGCTTCCAAGCACTCTGTGAGCTCTTGGCTGGAGTCAACAACTACCTCACGTGCCCCAACGATTTTTATCTCCCCTTCTGGTGACTCCCATATGTTCATGCTCTGCCAGTCCCCAAGGAACAAAATATGAGCACATCAACTAAACATCAACTCGCTCTTCTCCACCAGCGGACGTGTCTCCATGCAATGCAGAGGTGACAACAAGGTCATGGCCCAAGGCATCACAACCTGTTGAGCCCTATGTGTGCCATTCAGTTGCAGGCTAAAACTCATGAATAGCGGAGCTCGCCATTTGTATTGTGAACAACGTCATATTCTGGACATGGTCGCAATCGGTGTGTTTCTCCCAAGGGATCGACTAAACAAAACTCTTGCAGCAATTAACACCACCAGCAACAGCAACTAATGATACAGCTCAGAGTTGATTTTTGCGAGATTGCCAGCTTGAAAGAGAGTGGCCTCTGATACATTGCAGCTTCAAAAAGGGTGCCAACAAATACATTTAAATTGATATTCTCTAAGCTGGCCATAATTTCAGAGCAATGCAATTTCAATCTTGTGTCACAGACCCACTGTCTCAGAGCATCACTAAGTTTGCCAGTGCTCGGGGGCTTGATTAACACAGCCTGACCTTTGAGCGTGCACCAGGCTCCAACAAGTCCTTCACCTCCTCATTATAAATTTCCAAGAATTGTATGGCGACTTTGCATTCTGCAATGTCCCTCCTTTCTTTTATGCCACTAAAAAGGGCCCTGTACCACACATGCAGCCATTAGAAACAGGCCACTATCCCAGCCTTTGCCAACAGAATCTCTTGAGCAACTTCGCATGCACTGTTGGGTGCTGCGAGTGTCCTTTCAAGGATGCACAATACTGTGCACAACATGTCCAAGCTTCAGATCTTCGATACTTACTGCAGGGTGTGTCTTGCTCCTATTTCCAATCATTTCTCCTTGGTGAGAGGTGTCATATGAAATATCTCTTGCATGAGGTTGTGGACCAACACATTATGGCAACGACAATGGCATGGTGCTGATGCAGTCGATCAACAACAACAGGAACAATGAGCAGCACTCTCACAACATTCTTACTACACTCTTACAGCAACAGTCTTATACGAGGTGCCAGTTATGTAGCATTGTATGTTCGTTATTCTTATCAACATTGATTGCGTCAGGGTACTGCCTGCTTTTCTTCTTTGTTAATTCTCCAGTGCTCACTTCCCAGGCTACATTGGTGACTATGCATGCCTATAGACGAGGTGAAGGTGGTGTGAACGGTGTGGCAAGGGTTCATTTCTTCTGGCTACCGTGTGTATCAATTCAATTCAGCATCAAAAAGTTCCTGCTTGACCTCGTTCAAAAATTTGGCGTATTTGCTCCAAAAGGTGTTGAATTGCATGCTTCCACATGAGGGTGGGAAATCATTCCCAGTAGTCTACAAATCACTCTGGTATCCATGGAGATTGCAATCTAGCAATTCTATGTGCAACGACGTATGCCCAACATCGCCTTAAAGCTTGGCAACACTGCATTCCATTCATTCCTTTTTGACAAAACAAAATCCATGGTTATACACTTTGTGCATTGTAGGTGCCTATTCCAGGGGTTCAATTTGTCACAATGCACGCATTTTGGAGTGTATAGACTGTTATCTCATCTTGGATGCACAAACACTACTAAGCATGCTCAACAGGCAAATCACAAGCGTGTGCAACAATGAAGGACACTGTTTTGTGTTGGCAAATCAATTCACAAGATCCATTCAGCAGTGTTTCGCTTCCTGCTTATTCCTTCCTGAGCCCCAACATTCACCAGACAGATAGAGCAATCCATTGGCCTGTGTCTCCATCAGCGCACCGAACAAGGCGAGGCACGATCCCGATGAGCCCATCAGGCATGCCTGACTGGTTTCCTGTGCCCATCGTGTACGTCTTGCCAGAGCCTGTTTGGCCATATGCAAGGATCGTGGCGTTGTACCCATCAAAGCAGCCCTCAAGCAGGTGGGCGACGCACTTATTGTAGACCTCGGCCTATTGGCATCGCAGCACAAGCTATAGCTCATATTGTGGGTTAGGGTGGTATGACATGTTCACCCTTTTGTTAAAGTGACAAAGGCAGAGGCTGCACACTGGATGGGTGATGGTGGCTAGGAGGAAATGGCTGTCTGGCCTAGCAAGGAGTCTTGCCAGGGGAAGCATGACCACAGCGTGGAGGCGGGCATCCGCTTGGCACTTTAATGAATGCTTGCGATAGGACTGGGGCATGAAGTGCAGCATCGCTGAATTGACTGTTGTTGTTTCAGACTGCTGTGAAGTCCCAACAAAATGGTAGCAGTTGTCAACAAAATCCTGATGATGAATCTAATCCACAAACTGGCATGGACTGCAGTAAAATCAATCACAGCACCATGGAAACAGCAGCTCTTTACATCACACCCAAACTGACTGCAACAGAAACAACACCCATTGTCCATGGGGAGCATCCAAAACGGGAACGACTGGGGACTATTCATATGTTGGACCTCCAGCTTCTGTGTCAAGCATGTTCTGACTCTATTGACCCTTTTTCACCAGTAAGAGATTTATAGTTCCCAGATAGTATGAGATGTACCAAGCACCAGTGAGGCAGGTAGTAAGCAATAGGATGTCTCTCATGGGCAATATGAACAGGTGAGCACATCGAAATCGAACACAACATCCAGGTTCCATACTGGGTGCCTTGTTTGGTTGCAGTAAGGTAGCGGCTTGGTCCATACTTCAAGTCACACACCTGTGTGCTCTCTGGCCCAAAAGCATAGTCAAAGGTGAACTGCCTCTCTCTCCCAAGAAAGACACATCCAGATGAAGAATCTGGACAAAGCAGTGCCACAGTAAGGAAATCACAATCAGCAGATGGCCTCTTCAGCTCAGCAAGATCGTGACAAGCACAGCACATGTACCAGGTACCTCAAATTTAATCAAGTCAGCCTCCCCTCAATCTCAATCCACCTTGGGATCACAAGGAATTTGGCCATAGGAAGACTGTTGCAATTGCTTGGGCCTTAAGGCAAGCAATGTGGACAGATTGAATGGACAGGCTTCCACAATCTCAACAGTTTTTGTGCATCAGAAGAACAAGGGAAGGGTGTTTTTGATGTGCACTACGCAACGCACACAAGATAGCGATACGGCGTGGAATAATCAAGCACTGATAAGGCAGAAAAGATTCACAGCGCATGAAGCGCAAAGTAAGGTGATGAAGAGCTGCCTTTAAGTCCTGAGGAAGCAGATCTACTCAAACACATCATATATGTGTGTCAACAAACTGCAAGACTCTTTTCGCAACGACGCTATCTTTCCTGTAGATGCATCAATAGATGCAACAGCAGCAGGATTGCATCCCTGCACAAAAGCAGCTTGGCAATTGAATGAACAATGTCGCCCACAAACAGCCACAAATCTTTGGCAGTTTTTGTGGTGGGAGCTGCACACAGGAGGATGTGACTGCCACCAGTGGAAGTCCTTGCGGCCAAAGCCAGAGTGTGCATGGCCCTCAATGCGGTGGCTTGTTTGCTGTGACTGTGTACGCGCCATAAGACAACCGCCATGTTCAAGCACGGTTGACTCACATGCTGCCATGTCCAATGGTACCGGCTCCACTGGCGCGCCTTGTCAATCTAACATGGGTATTGGGCACCACCGGTGTTCACAAGACACCATGGAACACCCCTTGTGCTTGCACCTGACCTTGGCTATGAACGATTTGACTGGTGGCCTACAAATTTCGCACACGTGTGATACATTGCACAGGCTGCCCTGCAACGTCAGTCCCCTTTGGCAAATTCGTGCAAGGGAGCAGCACGCCCTGTGCAGTGCTGTTGCTGAAGGCATACGGGTGCCACGGCTGTCCCCCAAGTGCGAATCTCTACAACTCCTGCTGTGCTATGCTGCACGCTCACATGTTACCATGCTCTGAGATACAAGTCCCTCATATGTACCATTTAGGGTTGGAAAGGTGGTGGCCAGTGCATGTGTTCATCGGACACTGCTGAACACCAGTTGCCTGGGCAAAGCGTCCACCCTTGCACCAAGTGCTGAACTGTAAACGATTCACAATTGGCAGAAACTGTTGTTTATGGGGACAGAACACACCCTGAAGCCTGCCATGCGAGCGCCGTGGTACCCCGACTGGTAGAAATCGTCGCAGGGCGGCAGGACTCCTGAAGCAAAAGCTCTACAGAAGGGGTGGCAAGCTGCAGCGCGGAGCTTGAAAATGCATATCCCTTTCAAAGGAATGGACGACCGCCCCAAAAAGGACTCTGTGCAGCGCCCGCTATGGCATGCAGCAGGACGTCTTCTTTTAGGGCTTCCTTGCGGACTTCATCAGCAACTCGCGGCGTTCGTGCAGGGCCTGTTTCGAACGAGGCCGCTGGCGAGACAGCCGCATGCGCGCGGGCAATCCGGACCGTGGTCGTCCCTTACGACGCGCGGCCAAACATAGACCCCGTCTGCGACTGACGCGACAAGTCAGCCCACGCCTCCCTGCGACCGCAAGGCTCGCGCGAGACAACCCAGGGGAAAAGGGGCCTTGGCCGCGCCAATGACTGCGGACAGACTCGACAACAGAATCTGCCCAGAAGGGTTTGAGAGCAATGCCGCCGCGGCCCGCCGGCGACGCGCTGTGCAGCCCCCTCCGCGCCCGACACCCAGAGGCGCTGTCCGTCGCCGATGTGCGAGAGTCGACCCTCCGCATGCCGAGCACTCACCCACGACGCTGCAGCTCCTCGCGCCGGCCATCTTCTCCCTGGCGATCAAGGGCCTCATCCTGACCACGACCGGCAAGCACCGCGCTCTCAGCCCCCGCCGTTCTCCGCCCCGCCTCCACGCGAACCGCACCGCCCACCCGCACCCCGGCGCCCGAAACACACAGACGGGGATTATACGCCATCTCCCCGCCGCAGGACACCAGCGGGGCCCCAAACGAGCCGCTCTCAAACCCGCACCCCACCATGCGCAGCCCGAGAAACAGCGACGACAGCTCCGCCGTGGACCGCGCCGTCATGCCGACAACCCCAAACCCCTCCTGCCCAACCCTACCCCTATATCCCGGTCCGTTCCCTCAACTAACCCCATCGACCCACACACCACCATCCCCCCCCCCCCCCCCCCCCCCCCCCCCCCCCCCCCCCCCCCCCCCCCCCCCCCCCTTGCCAAATCCCATTCCCCCCGTCCTCACCTCACCGCCACCCTCACGGACGTCTCCTCCCCCTCCGCCTGCCTGGGCGACCTGCCCGGGGCGGCGCCCCCGGCGCCCGGCTCCCCGCCGGGCACCGCCATCGCGCCGCCCCCACCAGGCGCGATCGAGCCACCCTGCCCACGCCAGGCGCCGCCGGCGGCCGACCGGCCGGCCGCCGGCTCCCCCCACGCGCCGGCCACCCGCCCAATTGCACCTCCACCTCACAAACCCCCGGGACTTCGCATCAAACAGTACACCCACACAGGGGCGATCCCCGAATTTCTTGCCCCTCGGCAGGCAAGTTCGGACGCCAAGAATCACCCTTTTCAGCCCCGGAGCAGATCGGCTCGGCGAGGAGGGAGGGCGGGCAATGGGCAAGGCGAGCGTGCCCTCCAAGCGGGGAGGGCGCCCGGGAAGCAAAGGAAAGGGAGCGTTCCCCTTTGAGGTGTCGGGGCGAACCGATGAGGCCGCCAGGTACGTGCGCGCCGGGCCCTTGGGTCCGCCGGCGCCGTTTACGTCATGGCTTGGGCGTGATGTGACTGGGACCAATGATGGGCACAGCGGCGCGATGCGCTGAACCCGAGCTGTGTTTTGGGTGTACCTCGCTGAACGTGTACCTCGAGCGGGAGCAACGTTGGAAGGCAAGCAGCGGCCGAGCGCGATGGCGGGGATGATGGGAGGCAGGGCCTTCTCCGCCATCGCGGGTGTCCTGCTGGTCGTCTGTGCTGACGGCTTTGGGGCAGGGGAAGCACCGGAAGAGGTGCGCGTGTGGCGGGCTGGGAGGGCCCGAAAGTGAAGTCGGGCTGCGCCCTTAGGCGGCGGCGGTCAAGCGTTACATGAGAAGGAAGAGGGAGGGGGTGGGGAGTCGATGTTGTCGCGGCGGCGGCGGCGCCTGCCGACCGGATCCAACGCGCCAGCGAGGGATACGAGAATACAAACTGCTGTTTCGTCAAGCAGTAATGACTGTGTGGGAACGGGAGGCCGTGAGGCCGTAAGGTTCCCGTGAACTCCGCAGAGGAGCGTACGGACGCGCTGTGTCGCACGTGTGACCTGACACTGCGCCAGTGCAACTTGCGGCAGGCCCGTCTGGAAGACGAGTTGCACGTTCTCGCATTCCGATATTAGTGATGGACTGACTACACTCGGTGCCGCCCGGCAGTGTTCAGGGCATGACCGCATGCTTGCCTTATGATCACCGCCATTCGTCATCCTTGCGTCACTTTCGTGTGGAGGGAACTCTGTGTCGCCGACACTCGTTAATCGTCACATCCAGGCTGGGTATTTACGCCATAAAAACTCAACGTATTGATGTTTTCACACGTAAAATAATTTTTACACATGAAAACATTTTTTTATCCTTTTTACGTGTAAAAAAGCGGACAATTACGTAAACACAACGTAAATAGAGCCCCTTATACATAAGGACAATATATACAGACCTGGCAAGTCCGGGGAGTGGCACTTACACGCGCTGGAATGGGTAGAAAACGAACTTTTGATCCATGCCGTCGTTGCCCTTGCCGAGGGCGAGGTGGGCACTGTGTTGCGGGTGTTGGAGACGGCGGACGACTGATCATCGTACGCATCTTTCAACGTGTAACCTGATGTCCCAACGAGCCATCGAAACGTGAAAATAACCGTAAAAACAGCTGTAAGAATAGCCCTTTTCGGAGTTTGTGTTTTTACACGTACAAACGTCACTAGGAAAAAGGGGGCCAAATAACACGTGTTCAAACGTGTACAAATTTTACGGGTTTCTGTTATTTTTGTGTTCTTAGCGTGCAAAACGTTGATGAATTGTGTTTTATGTGTGTTCACAAAAAACGTTATTTGGCCCTTTTTTTCCTAGTGCGTAAACATAAAATGGCAAACGTGAAAACGTAAACGTAAATACCAAGTCTGGTCGCATCACAAAGCAAGGGAGGTTGCAAGACCAGCCGCTCCCTGCGAGCTCCCCAGCAGGGGCGGGCAATGAAAACACCGCACGTTTGCTCCATAGGGACGCTGGTGAAAGCCCTTTGGCGAAGCTGCCGGATCTGGCTGGCTCACTTCACAACGATGCATGTGCATGGGGGCTGCGGGCTGTGTTTGTCATTTTGTGACAAATGTAATGCATGGATTTTGATGATGATGATGATATGCATGCACACGCATGCGGCAGGCCCCTGGCATGCCAGTCCTCAGAATGTTCCGATTAAACCCTTCAGCGCTGGGCGGTCAGTATTATCTCAGTGTTCGCCAATCAAGCAGTATTGCATGTCACAGCAACCACGTAGGTTGCTTGTCCACCCCCCTTCTCCACCCGTGAGAAGCAACGTTAATGATTTCTTTGAAGGAAAATCCTGAAGGCAGAGCAACGGAAGTATCCAGGATGGGTTGGCCAACCCATGGGTTTTTCACCATCACAGCAAACTGTCGGCGATGTATCAAGGACGCCGCAGCAGCGATGTCGCACTGATGCAGTGAATCCGCACAAAACTGGCGCGTTTCAGATAGCGCTTGTTTGTGCTTTCAGATTGCCCGCCAGACATCCACAAGCAGACGGCTGGCGGGCTCCGGAACGGGCACTCCAAGAACCAAGAAATTCATTGTCAAGTTCAAGGGCGATGCAGTTGACGAGCAAACGGGGGGCGAGGCGCCAGCCCCTGCTCCGGAAGTGCGGCGATGTATGACGGGCGGCCTGAGGCTCGGCTTCGCTGCTCGCTTGCTGGGAATTTCGATACTGGAGGTCGCGGAAAGCGACGCACAGGCAGCCTTCGATGCGTTCTTGAATTGCTCGGGTAAATCAGCGAGGCTGGGCGCCATCCAGGCATGCTGTGGATGTGAAGTCGACGTCAATAATTTTGCCCATCACCTTCCCGCGGGTGGGAAAGTGCCTGGGATCTCGGAAATGGGCTGTGTCGTTCCGTTTCTCCCATCAGCTGCAGTAGATATGTCCCACGATTGGACGTGTGGGGATATGTACACATGTCAAATATCTCCTGACCAAAATTAATGAGAGCATGTACGTCAGGCGCGGACTTTTGTGCGATTTCCAACGCCGGCGATGTGAGCATTTAATGCACGCGTTCGCACTTTCGCGTCTTTTGAAAGGCAAGAAGATCTGAATTTTCTCCATCCTAACACAATCTAACATATCTCTAAGAGTTTGAGCAACATTAATTTTTGGGGGGTAGCCTGGTGCATTTTTGCATTTTCACAACACATATGCGGTGAATTGGGTGAAAATCATCAATAGATCTAGCAGCTGGGCAGCGCCAATATATGACGCTCACAGCGGTGTCTCTCACTTTTGTTGTTTCCTTGGATTTCGAGAAATTTGGTGAGAGCAGAGAGCGCAGCAGATTACGAATATGCACGTTCCTATATATTGAATTTCCCTTTTCGACACCAAGACAACCAAAACCCGCCAGATGTGATGCTCCAATCTGAATGCAAGGAATAACAGATCAAATACACACAACGTGGTGTCGCTCATATGCTGAGCAATGTAACAGTAATAATCCATGGATTACATTTGTCACAAAATGTCAAAACACAACTCGTGCACCTGGTAGGCGATGATGGGCGTGAAAACCAAGCAGATGGTATGTTTGGAATCGATTATTCATGGTCCCATGTCGCCAATCCCTATGGGCCCATGAAATGCAGTGAGCTGGCGTGAGTAACGAAATCCCCATGGATTATGTTCAGTGTATGTAGTGAAGAAAAATCAATCCCAAACCTCATGTCCCATGTCCCACGCGAGCACAAGCATATCGTACATATGTTAAAAAGCGCACCAAAATTCCAAGGCTCTGTGGCACTAGTTCAGAAATGTCCCACGGAATTGTTGCATCTACCAAACACCTCGCAGACTCATAGCATGTGAAACGGGCATTTGAAAAGATTGGACAATCCAAGAAAACATGTGCGCGATCCTCCCGCCAAAACCCACACATACGGTGGGCTGGTGAATTAAAGAGCTGGCAGCGAAAAAGAAAAAAGCGATGTGGAAATTCATCGGCAAAAATTGACATAGAAAGGTGACTTCTGCACGTGAAAAGGGCTTTGCCCAATCAAGGGAAGGTGTGAACGTCCAATTCACAGCCAAGACGCAACGCAGCGCTGCCGTCCGTTGCCAATCATGATGAGCCCGTGCATTGAGCAGTGTAATACTTTATGTGCAAGCAATTTCCGAAGTTGTTCGTGACGTTCCACCGTTGAATGAGAGCAAATCGCTGTCAATTGCATTTCAAACATGTTGGTCAAATGTTAGGCATTCTGGTGAAGACTTGATCATTTGATTCACTTATATTGACCGTGTCATGTGCACTGACAGACATGCTCGAATGCGCCGAGGAGGATGTCGATTTGAGCACGGCATACTACCCAAACGACGAGAAATACGAATCCCAATGGAACCTGAGGAAAATCGGAGCAGAGCGTGCTTGGAACGTCACCATGGGATCCCCGCGCGTTGCGGTGGCGGTGATCGACACTGGCGTGGATTACAACCATCCCGACTTGTGGGACAACATGTGGGTCAACGAAAGGGAGACACCTGGAAACGGCATCGATGACGATGGGAATGGTGTGCACAGTACTCTAACGATCAGTATGTTTTCGCAAATCGACGCATGATGGTAGTTGCGACCGCGCAGCAGTACGGCTTGTAAGTTGCAACGTTTCGGGCGCAGATGCGCTGCGGTTCCCTGAGAAGGGATTTCATTCCCACGCAGCAGACCCACCATCATAGGTGCTTCCTCCGTCACGCAGCAAATGTGCATTATGACATCACGCCGCTATGGCTATTACAAATCCTGAAGAGACATTTGCGGAAAATTGTTCGGTCACCCGAAGTCTTGTTGGTGAAGTTGAGGCTGGCATCTCACAGGTTTTGCGATCTGGGATAATAAATTTCACGACAGTTTTGCCGTTCTGCCTCCGGCCACTGCCGGTGGAGGATGGCAGCGGAGGGCACAATATAAAGCGGCGTCCTACGTAGGATAAAAGTGAGCATCTAATTACATGCTCGCATTTATGAAATTAAATGATGCAGGAGCTGATGCACGTGTCCATGTGCATGCGCAGAGACGAAACATTGTTCCGCGATAATGATATGCACGCACAATTCTTCGATCCTTTTGCACATGCGCAATCATTGCGATGGGATCCGAGCAGGTAATAAGCTCAATTTGAACCGCTAACTTCCTATATTGAAATCAATCAAAGGTTGAAATATACCATTTTTGATTTAAAGTTACGTTAAAAATTGGCCTCAAGCCCGGTGCGTGACAGCGTCCGCCTTCCCGGTGCAGGTTACGTGGACGATTACTACGGCTATGACTTCATCAACGACGACGGGGATCCCTTCGACGACCACGGGCACGGGACGCACTGCGCGGGCGTCATCGGAGCGGTGGGGGGCAACGGCATTGGCGTGGCGGGCGTGGCTCCCAGGGTCCGCCTCATGGCGTGCAAGTTCATGGACAAGTACGGCGCGGGAGTACTGTCGGATGCGGTCAAGTGCCTTGATTACGCGCTGCAGATGAACGCCAGCATCAGCTCCAATTCCTACGGCCACCCTCAGCAATCCCGCTGCATGGCGGCTTCCCTTCAGGTGCGCCTGCCGATTCGGGGTGCCAGGGCACCTGTGGTGCCGCCGGGTGGTTCAGTAGCAATGCTGGTTCACATTCCGTCCAAAATATATTTTTGAACGTAATGTTGTACAGAACTGTACTTAATATGAGATTGGTCAATCAATGTTCACGCCCTGAGCATTTTGCCATGCGCGTGAATGACTAAACTTTGACATGTTTGTAGGCGGCGGAGCGACGGGGTCATCTCTTCGTTACCGCGGCTGGAAACGAAGCGACGGACAACGACGCAACCCCCTCTTACCCCGCCAGCTACAGCCACAGCTCCGTTCTCACCGTCGCCGCCACGGACATCAACGACAACCTGACCGCATTCAGCAATTATGGCGCGAATTCCGTGGATGTGGCAGCCCCTGGCCACAGCGTACTGAGCACCGCACCGGGTGGCTACAATTCAGATTCTGGGACATCGACAGCGGCGCCCCTAGTTGCAGGTAGTGATGGATGTCATCTTGTGCTGTGGGATGGCATCCCACTTTTCATTCTCATTCCTGTGGACTGCGTTTACTTCCGTGCAGTCTGTGCGCTTTGCGTACACGGATTTTCGGTGTTTCGCCACACAAATCTGCAACAGCAGTTGGCGATCGGAGAGGCCTTACTCAGTGCACGAACGTGCTCACAGTTTCAGAGTTTCATGATATTCTCATATGTGTGAGGATTGTTTGTTTCACGTTTTGGTCTCATTGATCTGTGGACAAGAGCGAGTCTGAAAATATAATTTGGTACTCTTAGGATATTGTGTGTTAACGTAGATGCAACAAAGCATGTCATAGGTGCGATGTCATTGTTTCATGCGATGCCCTTTGCTGCGTCACAGGATCAGCTGCCCTTGTACTGTCCGCTTCTGGTGGGAATATGTCCGGGTCAAATATAAAATCTCTTATCCTCACCAACGTTGATGCGGTTCCTGGACTGCATGGAAAAGTGGCCAGTGGAGGACGCCTCAATGTCTCCAGAGCTATTCAGGTTAGGGCGATAACATATGTTAATTTGCCACCTGACAATATCGCTAATAATACAGCAAATGTTTCCCATACTCACTGATATGTCTCCAAAGAGTTTGCTCTTTATTTCGAAACACAGTACAACAATGGTACTGACAATGCGTTCAGAGAGAAATATTTTACGCACCTGGTGTCGATTGACAACAATGGACGAAATTTTCGATGCACATATTGGTCGTGCTACAAAAGTGCAATGACGGAACCCCCATCCAGAGCTACGTAAAATAGCTCCATGTCTTTATGCTTCCGACTCGACCAGATTAAGAAACATGTTATTGTGAACTGCAGGCAGTCACTGGTGGATCAGTGAAAGTGAGTTCCTTTGACTATCATCCCCGACCCCAGCCCAAGTCACAGGGATTTGCGCAGCACATCCGAGCAGGATTCGACTTGCAATTTTCCTCGCTAGTGTTCGACAGAATTGGAAACAGAAACCAGGATACATCATTCTCCGTTTGCAAGTACGGGATTGAAACGCTGCCAGTTGATCCAACCGGCGGCGTTTCCATCCATTTTGTCGACAACGATCGCTCAGAGTCATTGAATATCAGGTACGTCCAACGAGATTTTGTATTGCGTGCGGCAAGGACCTCGCCTCGTAGTACTGGCTCATTTTTCGGCCACGAGTGAACGTTATTTGCGAGACCGATGACAAAAGCAAATGATAATATTCAGCAATAAAACAACAGTTGATTGGGTGCCTAACGCGCGCCTTAGACTGGATTCACTGTGCTACTCACATTCCAAATTGTTTCCAGGCCCGGGAGATGCGGAAAAACCTGCCAGGTCTTGTTCGAACGTACAAGACAACATGAAATCGTAATACAAAGTACGGACACAGCAGATAACTCAATTAACCTCCACGCAATTAAATCTCGTACGTTGGTTGCCTGGCCCCGCTAACTGGGAATAACAAGATATAAAAACGCCCAGTACAAGTATAGTTACGGAATCGCATTCACATTTAAGATGTTTTCCCCAAGTGCTCAATGATGGAGGCACAGCTTCTGCTTTATTCATTTTCATTTGAGGAAAGCGACAGCTGAACGAAGCTCGCCATTTGCACGAGCTTTGGGATAAATTAAAGAAGCAGATTCATGTATGAGCCTGAATTCTATTTACCAAATGCATCATGGCAATACTACTTAGATCACTCAATGCACCTTACTTGCATATGATGGGTGCAAAAATGATCCATAATGTTGGGTCTGGTTCTGTCGCACGAATTGGCCGAATAATGACTTTACATGGAAATTATTCAAACAATGCCCAGCATAATTCCAGACCACAGTAATTGAAATGGTTGCGAAGCGCTGCACTTGCAATCCATGCCAGTTGCAATATCAGTATCCTCAACATCTAAACATAAAGTTGCCATCACAATCGGGCAAATTCCTTGAGTGCTGAAATGATACATCATCGACCATTTCTTAGAACTTCAAAACCAAAATTTTGTTTTAAACACGCCAGAAATCGTCTCGGCAAAGTCGCCTGTTGATTATCTGGAAGTTCGCGCGATGTTGCTTCCGCTTAAGAAGCACAAAAATTGCAAGAATGCGCGCAAACGCTCTAATCGACTGCAGTTCAGGGGCCTCCAGTTTTCCCTTCTTTGAGAGCTCCTTCAAGTCGGCATTTTTGAGCCCTAATGGCTACATCACATTTGGTCGAATGGACGCAGCCTACGACCACAGCCTGCCTAACCACTTCAACGCCAAGCGAATCAGCCCCCTGTTTGTGGACATGGACCCTTTGATCGGAGGACGAGTGAGCCGCATTGACCTGAGCGACGGGGTGGCGGTCACGTGGGAAGACGTGGAATTGCATTTCTATCAGGGAAAAAATACGTTTCAGGTGTGTCGAGGGACGTGGTGAAAAGTCATTGCCATTCGTGCTAGCATGCGCTGTAAGCATGGAACGCTGAGGCTATTCGTGTACCTGGAAAAAGTGCATTCGTTGATGCGATATAGTGGCTGCATTGCCACTCACGCAATGCCGAGCGCCGCTTCAACAAATGTCAACATACCGATATCGATACGCTTTGATGCATGTGCAATCACCGCATCGATGCTGAAACGTTGGCCCAGATGCAGCATTACTCGGCGCTGCTTCAATTATACTGTGAAGCCGTCATTGCATCATAATCTGGACTTAGTAGACTAGCCCCACGTCGCGCCAATTTGGAGGCAAACCACGTTGTGGTCCATGCTCTTCAAACATGTGGAATAAAAATTGAGCTGAACATTTATCTATTCTCACATGTTGGGCACATGTTTTTCGTTCTGTGGTGAACTAGTCTCTGTACAGCGGTCTCAGGGCCTGACATTCGTCATCTAAGCTATTTTCTTTGTGCACTTGTGACTATCATTTTCAAATCGCATCAGTTTCACATCTATCGATGCATCCATTTAAGTGGCCATGCATCGATGCCTTCCGATGTGCCATTGAAAGTACTGGTACGTCAATACGATGGATCGAAAGCCCACACATACTTGGCTGAAGGAGAGCCAAGCACATCGTAATGAACAATTTCAGATTGCTTACCACTGCTCTTACTAGCGCTCCAAAGCCAAGTCTGATCTCCAATTGTTCCTGTACCATTGCAGGATTACCTCAATCACTTAATCTGTCACCAGATTCGGATTACTTGATTGGCCTTGAATGGAATCTTTATTAGGTTGGTTACTAACCAATGGCCACTACCATAGAATAAGACATTTACTGCCTTATCGAAAATGCCCCTGTTTGGGTCCATGCAGTCCTTCAAACCCTACAATATTGCGTTGGCCTTACGTTGGTATGTCCCACATCTTTTTCAAAAGAAAATCATAAGTACCCTGTTTCGAACCACAAATAGGCAATGCTAAACTCTTTCAAGAGCTTTGGTATCTTCGCTTTCATACTTTTTGTGATTTTTCTATTGTACTACGCTGAACATGTTTCCAATATTCTGGTTTTCAACGATTGACCGTGTCTTCCTCTATCTGGGCCACGTTTTTTGCTGGCTTCAGCATGTACGTACTACCTAAACCCTGGAGCGTCTGCCAATTAGATGCTCCTGCACTGATTGCGATATCTCTTGACCGTTGGCCGCAACATTTTAAGTGGTGCCTATTTACACCCCAAACTCTGCACTGAACGCCGATCTTCAGTCTCACAGACTCTTTTTGCAATCGAACATCATGTTTGGTGCCGACCAACCACCAAATCCTACACATGTGATAGTTCAGCTCGATTAATATCTTCTGAAAGGCAAGAGGAGCACTGCACGCCGACAAAACGTAAAGTCGCGTTTTGCTCCTCTTGACATATGCGGAGAACGGGCGCGCCGTTTGCCAATATTAAGGGCTCTGAAAATGGTTCTTGAAATGGTGCACCAAAGTTGCTTCGATCAGATTTTCTGAATCAAACTTTACTTTTTCATCTCCGTTTGCGCACTGCTGAGATTGTAGAGGACTTTTGGAAAGGGGGTAGTATTACCGTTGTGCTTACTATAGAACAAATGTTTCATTGCCCTCGTGGAGCACTAGATTTGACGAGCCAAGGAACCCTTATGGCCGAGTTTCAGGTTGCGCAGATGATAGTTCTCAAGAGTTTCAAATGGCTAGAGCGTGCTAATCATAAGCATTTGCAGCAGCTCGTGCTTCAGCGAAACCACACGGACAATCGCTTCTGCTATCATCTAATCACACTTAAATTTATATGGACAAACATCTGAGGCCACTTGAGCAAATCCTTTGAATCGCGAGGAAAGCACCATTAGAGGCAATGCTCAGAAAAGTTGTATATGCTTGGCAAGGCATAAGCTCGCGATTGGAATGCAATGCCCATTAGGTTGAACTATTCTTCAACGGCACCATACGAATGAGCTGGTTGCGGGTGGATGCGTTCGGCGCAGTTGTGGGGATCTCCAACGGCGCCTACTCCCCAACTTTTAGGGAAACTTATTTTTCAGAGCTGCCGAGGTGCCCATACGTGCCTGCGCCTCCTTCCTTTGCATTGGACACATCAAACGGGTCAAGCGTCATTCTGGGGCCCGGAAACTTGCACAAAAACACAACTTGGAGACTGCAAAATACGGGTGGATCTGACCTCAAAGTGCAGATTTCTGTGAGGTGCGATTTAATGTGTTGAATACAACTATGTACAACAAGTGAGCTATGAAATACTTTTATGCACTTTTATGAACATTCCAATTCTATGAAATATACACTGATTCCATGGGTTGTGAAGTGCCTTATAGACTCTCAACTTGGGTATATTGCTGGAAGCATATCCGATGATAATATCCAAACTCAATTGGAAAGATTTACAGATATATGAAATGTGGTCCACCGTGATTTGTGGGCCCCGTTTTTAGAAAATGGATTCTTCCATATTCAGGATACCGAGGAGGGTGTGGGCACCCCATATGCTATCCCATATATAGAGATGGGACAATTTTACAGTCGTGCCACCAATGTATTGATATATCTCAAATAGTTATCCTATTTAGGTATATTGCATGTTGGAGCAGTCCTTGCGAAGTCTTCCCCCGGAAAGATGAAATCTGGAATTTGAATATTGAGTTCGATTATTGTTGGCACATGATGTTTTAATTACAATGATACTATTTAACTTTCTTTTACCAGTCCATGAATTGAATTAACTTTCT